ATCTTTCCTTCATTTAAAAACATTCTATAAGGAACGAACAATTCTGAAATATTTCGAAGTAAAATGACTTTCTGTAATGAGACTTCTTTTGAATATCCATTTACGGTGGTTTGGTCCAATTTCTTTTCCTCTAAACTTACTCACACTAAATTCAGCCACGCATTCTCAAATCCTATAGAAAGAATCCGCACTAAACTTATATAAAATCTCTTTTATTTAGATTGAAGCGCAGACCTACCAATTTAATAGAATATTTCTTTCTTTTTCCTTTGATATCGTAAACAATTTTTAAAGGTATAACTTCAGCACAATACTACATGCATATTTGTATTACCAATTTAATAGAAAGTTTATTTTTTCTTTGATATCATAAACAATTTTTAAAGTTGAATTTCACTATATTTTGTGATATGGTAAACAATTTTTAAAGATGTAACTACGGCATAATGTGTCTCACATATTTGTATTACCAATTTAATAAGAAGTTTTTTTTTATATCGTGAATAATTTTAAAAGCAGAACTTCACTATATTATGACTTATATATTTGTATTACCGATTCAATAGAGCATTTTTTTCCTCTTTGATATCGTAAACAATATTAAGGACTCTACTAAGGCACAATGTGTCTCACATATTTGTATTATCAATTTAATAGAAAGTTTATTTTTCTTTGATATCATAAACAGTTTTTAAAGTTGAATTTCACCATATTTTGTCTTATGTATTCGTATTACCAATTTAATAGTATAATTCTTTTTTTCCTGTTTGATATCGAAACAATTTCTAAGGATGCAACTAAGGCATAATGTGTCTCACATATTTGTATTACCAATTTAATAAAAAAAGTATATATATGGTAAATAATTTTGAAACAGATTTTCACTACATTATGACTTATATATTTGTATTACCAATTTAATAGAACATTTATTTTTTACCTCCTTGATATCGTAAATAATTTTTCCTGATACAACTAAGGTACAATGTGTCTCACGTATTTGTATTACCAATTTAATAAAAAGTTTTATTTTAATATCATAAATAATTTTTAAAGCAGAACTTCACTATATTATGACTTATAAATTTATATTACCAATTTAATAAAAAGTTTTTTTAATATGGTAAATAATTTTTAAAGGAGAACTTCACTATATTATGACTTATATATTTGTATTACCAATTTAAAAGAACATTTATTTTTTTCTCTTTGATATCGTAAACAACTTTTAAGGATACAACTAAAGCACAATGTGTCTCACATATTTGTACTATGAATTTAACAGAAAGTTTTCTTCTATGATATCATGAACAAAATTTAAAATAGATTTTCACTATATAATGTCTTATATAGTTTCATTACTAATTCAATGAGATATTTCTTTTTTCCCCTTTGATATTTTAAGTAATTTTTAAAGATACAACTGAAGCGCAATACGTCATACATCACAAATTTTTTGTAAACAAATTTTAAAAATAGAATTTCAAAATATGTCATACATATTTGTATTACCAATTTAATAGAAAATTTATTTTTTCTAAAGTACTGTAAACAATTTTGATTTTAAAAAAATTAAAAATTAACTACATTATATTTTAAATATATGTATTACTAATTTAATAGAATATTTCTTTATTTTGATATCGCAAAGAATTTTTAAAGATACAACTAAAGCACGTGTCTTACATATTTGTATTACTAATTTAAGAAATAATTCTTTTCTTCTTTGACACCATAAACAATTTTTAAAGATATAATTTAAGCGCAATGCGCCACACATATTTTTACATTAAATCAACAATTTCAAAGAAAGATTCTTTGATTCTTCGAAACATAAACAATTTTTAAAAATAGATTTTCTTTATAATCCACCATATATATTTGTATTAATTTTTCTATGTTTTTAAACAAAAAAAAGTTGAGTCATGCAATTCTCTTTAGAGGCAATAGAAATTTTGAAACTTCAATTTGAACAGAATTTTATAATTTAATATTTATATCATTAAAAATTGCATCTACGATTTAATAAAATTTACAGGAATTCGAAATATGAATAAATAATTAAAATTTTCTGCTCAAAAAAATAGGTTTGGTGGTTTTGTTTCAATGGTATTTTTTATTATTCTATTCATTTTTATCCAGATTTAATAAAAAATAAATAGACAAATAAACAGACATTCAAACAAGTCATTTTTCTCCGGCTTCTCAGGAGTTACTTACTAGGCTGTAATAAGCTAGGATGAACCAATGCTTATAATTATGTTCTAATTTGTATAAATAAGCCAGACTTTGAGAACCAGTCGAATCTTTAAAAAATCAATCAAGTGAGAATCAAGTGATCAGATTTTTGGGAATCAATCAAATCAATGAGATAGGCAAAAAAAATGACCAAACACAAATTAATAGAATCGGGATACATTCAAGATAAAAATGATAACTTTCAGTAAAAACTAACACCCGATTTCGTCAAATACTTTTAAATGTCGACACAGGTAGTACTTTAAATATAATTTCAACTAAAACTTTTAAAACATTTAAAGTCTAAAGAGAAAGGAAAAACTTTGTGAAGGTAAAACAAACGCAAAGTAATTTGCAATTTAACCAAACTTGCCCCTTAAATCATAAAATTGGAAACCTAATTATATCATTCGGGTTTCATATATCCAATGTTGATTTACCTTACGCAATATTAAGTTAAAACCTTGGCTTGGGTTTCATTTGGTGATTGATTGTGTGAAACAGATGCAAAATGGGAAGATTTTGATCACTTTCTGATTATAAAACCAACTTGTTCTTACACATTTTTCCTGAAATCCAGATTAAAGATAGCAATAATAATAATAAAAAATAAATCATAAATAAAAATAAGAATGCAAATTAAAATAAAGAGAAGAAGGAATCAAAATCAAATAACACTAGCGTTGACAAAAATGTATTAAAGATAACAATAATAATTTTTAAAAGTGTACATAAAAATTTTTCCATTTCAAATAAAAACTTCATTTGAACACGATTACAATAGCGTGAAAATAGTGCTCTTTAATATTGCATTAAGATAGCAAAATACATCAATTCAATAGTGTGAGGTGTACCAGAAAGAGAGGGTCTGATTCATAAAAAAAATTTAATTAAGTAAAAATATTAGAAAAATTTAAGAACAATTCAAAATAAAACACAAACAGGAACATTTAACGGAATAAATACGAACTTTATATCTTTCTATTTGTGTTTTATTTTGAATTTAAATCAAATTTTGTTTACGACTCTCTCTCTTTTTTGTGTGGGAATGAATTTGAATCAGGCTTAATAGAACTGAAGCGGATAGAAATTAAATATTATAAAATTGGAAGATATTTAAAAATTAAAACTTAACTATACTTATTACACTAAAACTAAAAACATACATACATATTATAACAGCAAACGTTTGTTTCTGTAGATGTGTAGCATCGTGAGCAACAAGCCATCTTCTACTACACTGTAAACAATATACAGATCCAAAATGCGTTAAAATTTCATTGCTATCTTAATGTGCGCGACATTCCAATATTGGTGCTAAGATTTAAAGTGTTATGAACGCTCGACTAGAAATAAAGTATTCCATAACACCGCTTTTTGGAAACACCAAAATCGACCCACAGTTTTTACATTGTAGTTAAAGAAGCGGGAATAATCTCTACACCTGTTTTCATTATTACTCAAGATTGAGTATAGCATCAGAACATAAAATAAAGGATGTTGTATAAAAGATACCTTCAAAATTTAAAAAGAAATTGAGATAGAAATTTAATAATCTTCACAGAAAAAAATTAGAGGCGAAATAATATAGTAGTAGATAGCGAAATAATATAGTAGTAGAATATAGCGTTCGCCTTTCAATGAGGTGAACCGAGTTCGAATCCCTGCGATGACTGGTCGATACAGATCCGCATCCGGCTTGCACCGCCACAGTGCTAACGTGAAATATCCTCAGTGGTTGACGGATCATGGGTTAGAGACCCTTTGCCGTCAGGCTATCTGTGGGAGGTTCTCGTGGTCTTCCTCTCTATGTAATGCAAATGCGGGTTAGTTCCATCAAAAAAATCCTCCACGAAAAGAAAATTTCTCTCAATACTTGATCCCCTGTCTTCTAGATTGGGTTCAAAATTAAAAGGCTACGGAGTTGAACATTAGTAGTCGTAAACCCAAAAATTGGGTTGACTGCTCAACGACGGTTATAAAATAAAGCAGAGACGAAAGAATAGATAACAGGAACAAAATTTTATTTCTGTGTGTGACAACTCTCTCAGACAGCTGTTTCATTTGTGATTTTTACTTTTAGACAAAACTTTATTTTAGTATATAATTGTCTTAAATTTTATTTTTTTTCCGTTTTAACAAATAATTTATTAAAAAAAATTAATGAATGAGTTTTTAACTCGTCTTCAACTAGTTTTAGAACAATGTGGCCCAATAGGTTACTATGTATGTATATACATAATAGTGTGTTGAATAACCTTAAAATGAGGAAATTCGATGTCAATATTCTGTATTACAACATGGCCCCATGTCTCCCCAACCCGAGGAATTAATTATAGGCTTATTAGGGGGCCCACAATGTGGCCCTTTGTATGTATTATATAATAGCGTGATTTTTAATTTTAGACAAAACTTAATTTCAGTACATGATTGTCTTAAATTTGATTATTTTTTCCGTTTAACTCAATTGCTAAAAAAAAAATAGTAAACGAGTTTTTTACTCGTTTTCTAGTAGTTTGAAAGCAAATATACGTCATTCTAATGAGAAAAATGCTTAAGGATTCAAAATCTATCCTCTTCCTTCTTAAATGTCCTTAATTTTTCTATAAAGCACGTGTTTTAGCGGAATAGAAGACTATAAATAGAATAGGCGAAATATAAAGCGAATAAAGACTTGCAAACTGTGATGTTTAAAACATTTTGTTAAATTCATTCCTAATATTGAATAACAATAAGCAAATGTAAATACTGTCACTAAAGAATTGTTTACAATCACTTTATTTTATTAAAAAAATGTCTTCTTAGAACACTTTTTACTTGAGAATTGCTTACAACCATTTTATTTTATCATTAGGAGAATTTTTAATAAAGCTTCTTACTTGAGAACTGCTCACAATCAATTTATTCTATTCTCAGAACAGTCCTTTAAGAAAACTTTTTACTTGAGAATTACTTACAACCATTATTAGAAGAATATTTTCATTTAGCTTCTTACTTGAAAACTGTAGACAATCAAAGTAGATTATTATCGAAAAAGCCTCTTACAAAGTTTCTTACATGAGAATTACTGTCAATTTCTTCTGTTATTAGAAAAATATTTTAACAAATCTTCTTCCTTGAGAATGGCTTTCATTTATTGTGGACAGAGTATTTTAACATCTGGTCTTAATTCTTTTGATCATTTTTTACAACACTTTTTGAATCTAATGAAATAGCAATATCAAATGATTTGTATTTGTCTTTTTCGGGAGTTCGAAATAGTTTGCTACCTCCTTTTTCGGTCATGATTATAACGCTCAGAAAAGCAACCTAAAATTAAAACAAATTTTTAATGGTATGTTTTAACGATGAATAATTTTCTTTTGCAATTGAACATATGTTTTTGGTCTATATATTTGATCTTTCTATATATAATTCTATATAATCTAGTTTTGGTCTTTCTATATACAATTCCTTATACATATAAATTCCTTATAGAATTCTTTCTTTAAAAAAAAAAAGAATCAAGAACAAAACTCATTTTTTTTAAGAATGACCTAAATAAAGTGACAAAAACATAAATAAAATTTGCAAATGTAAAACAATACTAATTAATTTATAGTTGTTAAACGGAAGAATAAAATAACAGAACAGTAAAAATAAGTATTTGTATTAGTATAATTCGATTATTTTAATGAAATAGACAATTAATTATTATATTTTACAAATATCTCATTGATAAATTCAGAAGAAAATAAAATAATTTTTAAAAACAAATAGTTTAAACTACATTTAACGCAGCAGCAGGAAAAAAAAACAATAGAACTGTGAAACATTATATTATAATATATTAGCTATTAAATTTTTAAAAATGAAAATTGGTATCAATTTTATAAAGAGGACTAAGAATAACATTACTTATTTTCCAAACTATGACCGAAATTGGTGGTTGTCGACTTCCACTGTTGACAATAACATATGTCCCAAATATGCCCTACATCAATGTTTTTGTAAAGTTCCCGGTACGCACGTTTCTCCTAATCTACCCTCACCTCAATATCAAATAAATATAATAATATCAACGAATAGGGGAATGGGATAGCCTGGTTAGTAGGGCACATGTCAAAGAGACAGTGGGTTCGATCCCCGTGTAGTAAGTGGTGACTGATGCTGGTTAAATCTGTCGGGTCACAAAGTTCTCCATGTTGCCACAACAAATCAATATCCCTGAGGGTACTGATCCAGCAGCTCCCTTGCCATCTGGATTGGGATCAAAATCACAGGGATAAGCAGTTGGTAGTCGTAAACTCAGAATTGTGTCGGCAGTTCAACGACGGTTATAAAATAAAATATCAACAAATAAATTGATATTAAATCGGATATAACAAATATTTCAGACATTCACCAAAGTGATTGTTGATATTCTCTCGATCATTCAATGTAAAATATATATTCCTTACAGAAATGGTAAAAAATTAATTTTAAAAAAACTATTCACTCATAGCTATCAATTTTATTCTATAAATAACAGCTGTAATAAACTGATAACTTTGCAAACGTATGACTTCCAAGCTGCCCACTGTTGAAAACTAAATTTTGTAAGAATGGTCACAATTATTGTTAAAAATGTTAAAAAATAATGTTAAAAAACAATTATTCAGCTCTCCCGGTTACAGTAAAAGAAGAAGAGAAATAATTTTGAAATGTCAACAACTACAATTTTTAAATCAGAACATGATCCTCACTTGAAAAGAGTTCAGGGGAACGATGCTTTCATAATTAAAAGAGACCGCTAAAAAGAAGCAGAGATGCAAATGCAGCACATTTGTATGCTTTGTCTCTTAGTCTCCGTCCACCTTTCCATGCTAAAAATATCGTCCAACATCCATTTTAAGTTTTTAATCTGTTTCTTGAAGGAAAATATTAAATGGTGTCATATTATGGCAAATTTATTTTATAATACCCCTGAATAAGATACATGAAGGAAAGTTTAAACAAACTTTTTTTCTTATTAACATCTGATTATTTTTTCACATATTATTGATACAAATAATGTAAAACTGATACATATTGATAAATAAATGGCAATACAGTCCGACCTCTATTTAACGAAGCCACTAAATCCCGATAATAAGTTCGTCATATGGAAAATTCATTAAATAGAAAATCACCTTTTGAAATACTTAAACAACACAAAACAGGTTTTAAATTCATAAACACAAGACATAATTAAAATAGCAATTGATACACCTTTGTTTCGTTAACTAGTATCTACTATTTATTTTATCAATCTTAACCATAAAAGAAATCTTCATGGTAAGCAAGAATAGAGAAAAACATTATCTAGTGTTACACTATCATACTACATACATTTTCAACTAAAAAAAGCTAAATTTATGAATAAAATTATAGTTGTGTTATAAAAGAAATTTTAAACATACATTACCACACGTGTTCTTAAGTTTAATTGCTTCTGATAAAATCTATTGATTTCGTTTGAAATGCAAACAAAAAGGGATTTTACAGCTTTCTTTAAAAATTAAGAGGCTTCGAAAATCAGTTCAAGGTCACCCACAATATGCGTTAACAACTTTGAAATGCTCTGAAGTATTTTGGGAAATAAGAAAAGTGGATCTCAAAGAAAATTTCGTTAAATAGAAAATTTACTTTAAAAAAAATCGCAAAATGAAAGTTCGTTAAATAGAACTCCGACGGTATACTCACTGTGTGCGCTTAATAATGGTCTAAAAAATTTTGAACTATACGGTATAAAAAATTTTATACCAGTTTGATCTACATAATTTTAATTAAAAAATAAAATAGTTGAATACTTTCTAAGTGAACCAATTATAAAAAGGCATTTTATTTAAATTACGCGAAAATTATTCAAACGATTTCGCACATATTTTATGTTATGTTAATTAACAAAACGTACATTAAATTGGTGTGAAAAAGTTCAACTATTATTAAATAAAATAATAAAAGTAATAAAAGATTAAAAATTATTTTTACGTGCGATTGCCTTTTGATAAACGAATTTCTTAATTGTGGGCAAAAAATTTTTAATTCGATTTAAAAACTTTTGCGTTTCAGCGAAATGCGCAAAAAAATGAAATGAACTCTAAATTTTCGACTGCTTTCCTGCTTAAAGTCCATATTTTTGCAGTTATATTTTGAGGGTTAATCAATAAAGATTTATTAAGGCATATTTATCCAGGCTTACATGAGCCAGTTGTTATTCTAACAATTTTTTTACGAATTTGCTCTTTTAATCTTCAGCTTGTTATGCATTTCTTGACAGCGTGTACTTAATTTAAGAAATGCCAAGAAATTATGAAATATTTACGATTTTGTTAACTGCATAATGCTCTTCAATTTCCATTAAGAAATATTAAAAAAGAAAATATGTTTCCTTCCATTAAAATAATTATTCTTTTATTGTTTCATGAATGCACCAAATAATAAATGGTCTAGTCCAGTGGTTTCCAACCTTTTGTGGACCATCGCCCCCCTATTGGGGTTGGCTGACATATATCGCCCCTTTCTCTTTTTGCTCAAGAAACCATTCATTGTTGCTTGTGAGCAACCAGACACTGAAAATATGCTATATTATTTGATTTTAATTTAAATTGTAATGCGAATAAGGAGGCACATTTATCCTGTCATTTTTATCAATTCAAAAAAATTGTGCATTTTTTTTTTCAAAAAGAAATGATATTTAAAACGGAATAATCAAAACAAAAGTACATTTTTTTCAATTCATATTTTAATGTAATCAAGAAAAAGTTAAAACGTTAACAACTAAAATTTGAGAAAAAAAATGAAGAGGGAGAAAGTACATTTTTACCACTTCAATAACTGCCTTGTGCTTGGTGTATTTCAAGTTAAAGCTTGAATGTCAGATTTTATGCTCGTCAGATTTAAACGCGGGTCTCTTTTGAAGCAAATGTCCAACCTATCTCTTTGCTTTGTGAGCAGCTGGAAGACAGAGCTAAATCCTCTCTCCACTAAATATGTTGACGGGAACGAGATGAGAAGCGGTTCAGTTTGTTTCCACAATTGTGGATAAGTGTCCATAAGCTTTACCCAAGCTAACTCGTAACCGTATTTTTTAAAGACGACTTAAGCCTCACAGTCATACTTCAAATCTAAAATCTCAGTCTACAAAGAGGAAGTGAGCTTATCCACAACTTCGAAAGAGAAAGGATCGAAAATCCAATCCGGAATTTCTAATTTCATCAAATCTTTAAATCTTGATTCCATAACTGATCAAGGTGATCAGTAAAAATTAAGATTTTATTTTCGAGAATCTTGATATCTGCCATTGAACACTTTTTAAGAGTTGGAAATTGCATTAGCTCTTTGCAACCAATGTTTGACTTGTAGATATCAAACTTGGCGATGAATGAAGATATGATTCCCTTAGCCTTGATAATGTTCATTTTATTTCCTTAAAGTTTAACGTTGATTTCCTTCATTTTTTTCAAAACTATGAGTGAGGTACGCAGTTTCCAACTTGCGTTGCTTCAAACTCTCACTTAAAACAGGATCAGTGGTGTCGAGAAACTCAGTAACCGAATCCAGCAATTCGAAGAAACGGCTCAGTTTCCTTTTGAAAGTCATCTCACTCATTTCTCAGTCATTTTCATAGCAAAGTTCTCAGAACAAACGGTTATTAGGAGAACTAGCTTTTATTTTATTGATGCCAGAAATAACCAATTTTTCGCAGCAAAAAATTGACGATGAATGACATAATGAATGGTGAGATAACTTCCGGTACTTCTTTTTTAAGGTGACCCAGAAACCTAGCATGACAACCAGACATGGTTGGAGCACCATCTGTTGCACAAGCACTTACATTTGTGAGGGAAATTTCTTTTACCTTAAAATAATCTTTGACCAATTTAAAAATCGACGATCCTTTTGTATCTGTGCTCAAAGTTCTTGTAAACAACATTTCTTCGTTAATCTCCTTACTCTCATTTATGAATCTCACGTAAGCTAAAACAGCTTTGTTATCTATCACAGTTGATTCATCAATCTGCAACGCAAATTCACCTTCTTTCAGAAATTTGATGAGCTTTGATTCAACGTCGGCGGCCATCTCATCAATACGCCTGGAAACAGTATTATTGCTCAGAGGAACAGAGTGACTTATCAGATTTCCGCCTGCGATACCAAAACGTATGACGAAAACGATCCTGCACTTGAATTTTTTTTAATTTTTAACTTTCACAATTCTTTGTCTACACCAGAACCATAGATTTCATGTATATTTTCAATTTCAATCTCAAATAGTTTTTATTATTAATATTATTAGCAATTTTTATCTTTTGAGTACTCGTCGCCCCCTGATCGCCCCCCTAAGGATTATCGCCCCCTTGAGAAGCTCTATCGCCCAAAGGTTGGGAACCACTGGTCTAGTCTTAATGGTTCAGATATGCTAATTAATAAGTGCAGACTCTATATTACGAAATCAGACACGCATTTTTTCTGAATAAATATACTTATTTTTGCTACCGATTCGGATTTCTGACACCTAAAATATAGGCCTCAATATATGGTCCCCCCTTAACATTAACGTTACTATTTGCTTATTTCGCCATATCTCGAAAAACTAAATCGAAACATTTTTTTCACACAATTCGTTTATCCAAAGACAATTCCATGCTAAGTATAATTTTGTGTAAATATTTCATATTTTTTTTTATTATTTCATTTAATACTTGTAAAAAATATTTTGAGATATGGCAAAATTGGCAAAAATTAAAATTACCATTAAGAAATGCAAACTTTGGGACGCTCACCTGACCAAACTGTTTTGATCATACTCCCCCTATGGCCCCTATATTTTGGGAGTCGGAAACCAAAAACCTTTGAGAAAAAAAAGTATGTTTATTCAGAGAAAGAGCATTTTTGTTTCTGACTTCCGAACTTAAATTATCGTCTGCTCCAATTAATTAACATATTTGAAGCCGCCTCTTCACACCATTTAGATTGAGTCCTAAAGATTCAAGATCCAATCATTAAATCAAAAGTTATTTAGAGTGGTCCGTTTATTTATTTATTTATTTTTGTTCTCTGTACATTCACATATGGTCAAAGTTAGCTATTATTCGTAATGGCTAGTTTAAATATTAGTCATACTATATGATGGTAAGAGGGGAATCTTGAGATGCAATTCTTGCTCATAGCAAGAAGATTTGCTGCGTTTGAAAATTACTTCTTCACTAACGTTAAAGGTAATTGCCAAAAACTGCTGCAAACTACTGTTCTTTTTCTTTGTAAAGCCACTTATTTTATTTTTAAAAAAAACTGGAGCATTACACTGCAAATTGCAAATTGCAAAAAAAAAAAACAAAAAAAAAAAAAAAAAAAAAAAAAAAAAAANAAAAAAAAAAAAAAAAAAAAAAAAAAAAACAAAAAAAAAAACTTTCATTATTACGCTACATCCTACTACACCTTATACGCTACATCAGACTAGACTACATCTTATAGCCCTGATTGTTATTTAAGCAATAAATTCTTTTCACGAAAAGATTTTTAAATGAACTTTAAAGTCTCTGAATATTTCAAAATATCATCCAAAAAGGAGTCTATAAATATCATCGAGATAAAATTCTTTAAAAAAAGAGAGAATGTCCGAAAAAAAAATTATTCAAAATTATTAACCGATAAAAAGGAAATTAGCCTTTTTTAACGATGTATTTATTTAATAGTTCAAAGTAGAAAATAAGCAAGATGTATTTTATTTAGTAAAGAAAAAATTATTTTAAATTATTTACTAATAATTAAAGTAATGAAGAAAAATAGACCTTTCTATCGATGCATATTTAATAGTTCAAAGTTAAGACAAAGTTCTAACAAGATGTATTTTATTTACAAAATAAAAAAAACTACCCTTGATTACTTACCATGGTTAATTCAATAACTAAATAGAGTACGGTCCCGTATCTGAAGCCCCACGTATCTAAAATCACTCCTCCTATAGATGGTCCAAACGCTGAACTATAAAGCAATACATTAATTTGAAAAATTCATTAAATAGAAAAGAATAGCAATGTTTTCAAATCCATGATTTGGTGATTTTAATTAAGATAACATACTTAACAAAAGAAAATTAAAAAAATGTAAATACCTAAAATTAATTAAATTACAGTTAACTTTAAAAACCTAAAAGTAACCAAATTTAAACATTATATCATGCTTGTCAGGGTACAAAAAAAACGTTACTTATCCGATTATAATGAAACATATGTGAATTCCTTTGAAAGAAACAACATGTGAGCATTTAAAACAATAATTACTTTCATACTGCTCAGAAGAAGAAAAAATTCATCATAAAAAAAGTCCAAATAACGTCAAAATTCAAAAGTTGTGAGATTATGACGACACACACACACACATGTGTGTGTGTTAACACGAAGGCTGTTCTATATAATACATCTAACACAATTTTTACAAGTAGATAAATTAAAATTATTTTCAATTAAAAGCTGACTTAATTGCAGTTGAATAAGAGCCTAAAAAGGCTGGAACATAACAATTTAGTTGTATTATAAGGAATTTTTTTTAAATACATATTTATATGCTTTTACATTTACTAAAAGCATAAAGTAAATTAATTTTAATGCTTAAAATTTTATTTGGAATTTTATTCCAATAATTAAAATAAAAAAATATAATTAAAGGAATAGTTTTTTTTAATAAACAGTATTTATTTAGGGTTGATAAAGGAAAACTTAAAATATTTTGAGGAAGTAGGAAAAATTGATTACTGAAAGACGCAGAAAAGTATTGAAAGGCAATTAATAAAAGCACCGAGTTTCATCGCGCAATAAAACTGGCTTTGATTTTCCCCCCATTTTCTTTACTATTGATTCAACTGATTTCAATGAAGTATCTTCTTCCCTTAAGTATGTATTTTTTGACAAGGAATCTAAAGAATGTGTGTTAAGGGAGCTTCATAGAACACCCTGTATACCGCTGTTAAAAGATTAAATTACGTTTGGCGGAAAATTAAAAGAAAAAGTGCTAAAAGAAAATATATTTTTTGGAAGATTATTAATTGCAGAAATTATGAAATAATTACCTCAGAAATTTTGATATGTGTGTAAACAGTATTACAGTTGCATGTAAGAGCTACTAGCGTAGAATAAAGCAATCTCATGAGTGGGTTTAATTTAAGAACATTTCATTTTGCCCAATTATATTATCATCAAATATTCATTATCAATTTCCATTTTTAAACTTGTTATGGACAAGATATATTCTTATTTCATCAAGTTTGCACGAGTGTTTCTTTCATCTTTTCCATACACAGCACAATTAGCAGTTTTTATGGATTTTGATTAAAAGGAAAAAGAATGAGGTGTCGAAAATGTTTTGACATTCCATTTTAATGATCTGAAAATTAACCCAAATTAAATCTAACGAAAAGCAACATATTACATAGATTCTGGTAGAACAAAACATATTTTTTCAAATGATGTAAAACTTTATGCCAAAAACATTTAATACAGTGTGTTTAAATTTGAAAAAACTTAGATAGACCCCCCTTCCCTTGTGATGCCTCTAAATACAGCATAAAAGTAAATAGCATAAAATAAATACCAAAATTAAAAAACAAAAAGGCTATAGCATAAATCGTTCCACTTTTAATGTTAACTCAACATGAAAAAATTCATAAAATAACGTAAATTTTAACGGGCCAAAATTTTAGTAAAACAAATTTGCTCAATACATTACTCCCTATTCAGAACCCTGTGGAAAGAGAATTGATTTTTAACTTATGAATTACAAAATAGTTAGATAAATAAATTATTAATTCTAATAAAAAAAGTAGTTTTTATAACTAAATATGAGTTAGTACCATTATTGAGGTTTTGCGAATTTGTATTCCATGGTGATTGTATGATATTAGCAGAAAGATTGACTCAAAAAACCAAAATCATTTCTATGCAAAATGTAAAAATGTCAAGTTTAGTTTTATGATCAATCTAATACTATCATGCTGCCATCTATTGACAAACTATCGAACAACTTTTTTATTTTGTGCTAAGCGTATAAAGAAATCATTTTTATGTAATCAACCTTGCTAAAATCATGAAACGGACAAAATAAAAATACTTTCACCAATTTCCTAAATTAAATCTTTGTTTTTTAAAAAGGAAACAAAATATTTAAATTTTGCGATTTTGTTTTCAATATTTAGAAATTAACGCCTTTCTTCAAAATGGTGAACTATATACCATTAACGTCACTTATCAAGTTTAAAAATTAATGCATAGTGCATTACGCAAATAACGCCTCCTTCTTCAAAACTATTTTTATTTCTATTTTTACTTTAAAGTGATATACCTCCAAAACTGAAAAGATATGTATAAAATATGTATATTTTATGCATTTTCAAAAAAGTATAAAATAAGTATGAAATAAAAGTATAAAATAATTATATTATAATATATATATATATATATATAAANTATATATATATATATATATACATATATATATCAACTGAAATTTAGCAATTTAGCAATCAACAGGTAGAAATAATGACATACCCTAATGCTTTAGATGAGGTAATTATTGAAGTTATTATACCATAGGTACCTAAATCATCTGGAAAACCATAATTTCTAAAAAATAATTTCAATAATTAATCAAAGATAGTGCAAGACGCGGTGCAAAACTGAAACGTAAATACAAAACTGAATTTTTTTTTTATAAGTAAGGAATAACCATATATTTGATGCCCTATGATTTTTTTTAGTTTTTAATATAGAGATTGAATATTTATATGCTCAACTCTTTTTACCTTCTAGTTATTCGATTTTTTTTTTTCGAATCTTAAGCTGGAAAATTTATTATTTCTTGAAAAAGATTTATTATTAAAAGTCATTATAAGTTATTTTAAGTTTAAATATATTACAACCGCATGCCATAAAATATGAATTTGAAAACTTAATGAGCTCTAAAAATTGGGGTGAAGAAAGTTGACATACTTGGAGCGCACAAAACATACCATTATCAAAAACCACGTAAACAAGAATAATTGACGTGTTGATATATCAAGATAGCTCGAGACATGTCAGCTTTTCTACATTAATTTTTAACTGAAGTGAAATTTTCCCATCCACAAGTACATCTTTCTGCTTCTTTTCTTTTCACGGTTTCATTTTCAATTGGGGTCTTTTTACAGGTACTTTTTTTAAACCAATTGATTGTACAGTGTTAATAATTGTGGCGCGATTATTAAACATCAATTCGCTAGTATATAAGACATGCTAACTCGATTGAGGTACCTATTGATAGATGAAGGTTGACAAACGTCCTCCTGTTGCTTCTCAGTCTCAATTACATACAACGGGATCCTGTACACACTCGACTGCTAATAGCAACATCACAACCGTGAACTTAATACATCTCTTGTAGCTAACGCTCGAAACCAGTGAACTGAATATAGCTCTCACCACCAGGGTCTGGTAACCTTAATACAGCTCTCCCGGTCTTTCGCAAGTAAAACAACTAATCATCGAATTCTATCCCTGATAAAAATTCTGGTGGTGGAATATCGCGGCGTAACTACCACTGCAATTATTAAACATCAATTCACTAGTATATAAGACATGCTAACTCGACTCTATATTGAGGTATCTTTTGATAGATGAAGGTTGACATGGACGAAAGATCCTTTTCATAAAAGCTTTATTTACTGTATACGTCACTGGCTAACAAAAGCACTGAAGTAGTTTTTTTAATTAATTGTAATTTTTTTTATATTTACAATAAAAATGGTTCATTTCTGTTGCTTTTTATGAAAAGTAAAAATATTTTGACTCATTTAATGTTGAATAAAAATTGAGTTAGAAATTATAATTTTGTGTATTATTTCTTGCTACTGCATTGTTACAAGCATATTTGAAACGAAATAACTGTGTGAATTTAAAAGAATCTTCGTTAATGCATTTTTCAAGTTTGAATGGAATGAAAATAAATGCCTATATTTTTCATGATGTTTACATTTCGTATTAACTCTTATTTTTATAAAGCATTAAATTATGTTACGAATTTATATTAAACGAGTAAAAACTTACTTAAAAGTGGTTAAAATTTAAAGAATATTATCCACAGATTATTTTTTTTTAAATGCATATACAGTCCCTGACCAAAAAAAGCTGAATAGTATCACCTGTATAGTAAGATTTTACATAGAGTCTTATAGTGCGTCTATTAATGTGACCATGGACTGTAAAATATTAGAATTGTAAGTACTATTTCCCAACTTAAAGATTTGCCACTGATAACACTGATAATGAAGTTGGAATAAATGGCTTGAACACCCGGCCTCTCGATTTTTTTAAAGATAATAAATTTTCGTTTATGTTCTTTGTCTTCTAGCCAATCCAGAATTACTTTTTTACACGTGATTCAAAAGAGAAACTTACTTGGCAGAATAAAGTGCTCCAGTAAAACAACTGACTGTCTTAGAACCAGCTGCAAATCCCATTGAAGTCATTGCTAAACCAATTAAGCAAATGCTTCTAAAACGAGAAGAAAGTTGTTTCAAAAGCCAAGAAGTAAAAATTGCCTTTATCTTTTAAAAGACACTGTGCGTTGCAGGACTCGAACATTATTTTACCCAACTAGCCCAGGGCATTTTAAAAATTTCGATTAGGCATGTATTTTTTAACTTTACATACCCTGCCAGGCATATAATTATTTAATCAGAATTACCGATAATGTGCCCTTCAAGTTTTGGCAAAAAGTGCCAAGATATAGGATGGGGCCAATAAACAGCACCAAAAGAGGAGAGGGAAAAAAATTGATTATAGGTAAGATTTAAATATTACGGAATTTAATTACATAAATAATAATTAAAAAAGCAAAGTTGGATTATTCTTTTTAATTCCCCTAATCATGCGTATTTCAAAAACGTTCACTTTAATCACCAGGCGTAATATAATGGTTAACACATTATTGACAAGACGTATCATATGCTGTCTTTTGATAAGCATACGTTGTTGACCGGAAACATCATATGACGTCCACCGATAACCGAAAGTAATTGTATTATTATCGATAAATGGTAATTATAATTCAAATCCTTAATTTGCCACTTTTTCACTACATTTGATTCATTTACATACATTCACTACATCCATTGGCATATATATTCCTAGCTACCAACTTTGAGCAGCCATCGCTGGGATTCCAACCTCATTGGAAGGCCCTTGAGTACATTGATATGGAAGAAAGTTCTATAATATGCATTCCTAAAATATGTCAACATGCCCCAACAAAATACATGCCAGAATGAAATTTTTTTGAATTCAGACCCGAATGATATGGTAAGTAAAAACTATAAGATTTTTTCCCAACCCTGATGCATTGATTTCAGATTCAAAATCGAACAAAAAATTTTCAATTGTTTATCAAATAAACTATATATNATATATATATATTGATTACTTATTTCTAATATCAGTACACTACAAAAGTAAGCAATCATTTTTATTCTTATCATATTAATAATTTATTGGGACAAATTACGAAGCCGCGAGAGTCTAAAAAAAATTAAAACACAAGGTTTTAATATTAATCTAAAAAGAAATTTTAAAAAAATCATTTTAATATTATTCTGAAAGTTTTGAATAAATTTGAAATTGAAACTAAACACTCCAAAGATAAATATTTCCCTGTAAAAACATCTGAAAAAAGCAAACCCTATCAATTTTTATTCGTTTAAATTTTAAAAATTAGTAATTTTTATATCAATCGTGTAATTTCTGTCACACACAGATTTAAGTTTTACACTTTTTTAATTGTAAAGTTTACATACATGTCAACAGAAAAAACTTTCAAAACCTGGGTTTCATTAATTTTCGCTTAATTAATCAAAAATGCAATTCGAAAACAGAAATTAGATTTGCTGCTGCTAAATTTTATAAATAAATCGAATAAAAATTGCTGGTGTTAAGGTTTCTAATAAGAGTTGAAAAAAAATAAAGGGAAAACTGATTTTAGAAAACTTTAATATTTATTCACTGTTGAATTATGTAAATATAAATTGTGCAAAATAGAAATAGTGGAATATAATAATAACATTTGTTCCAATGTGCGAATTTTTATGTACTACGAAGCAGTCTTAACAGTTCGAAGGGAAAATTTTAAATATGCTAATTAATTTGTGCAGCTGATAATGAAATTAGCAGTAATGAAATTAGTCACTAAAACACTTGTTTTTCAACGATTACATAATTTTGATCCAAAAATCTGGTCAGTAGAAGCAATTTGGAAAAAATTATCCTAAAAAGTAAGTAAAGAAAAGAATAAAAAATTAGAAGCCTTGAATATTTAAGTTTTACTCTTTGTATATTTCGCCACATTTAATGAGCTATATAAGCAAATCAAACGTTTCTGTGCTCTAAGTTATCAAAGTATTCTTAAGCAATACAAATTTTTACAATTTAAGATAACTAGTTTTAAATTAAAAATTTGATATTTTTAGCGAAATCAGTTCAACAGTTTCTAAATAATTTAGCAAATATACACACACAAAACACACCTGTTATTATTATTACAATTAACTAGGTTCTTTAAATTTATGATTTTCTTATTCTACGCTTATAAACACATTTCTATGCAATTTTGAAGTACGTGTTCTTTTCTTGAAAGTAAAAACTGGAAGTGTTCTTAGATTTCTTAACTTCTATATTTTTTGAGGCTAGATTATGATCTCTGAGATATGAAGAAATTGAAAATAAGTTCGTTTCATTTATTTGATTTCCTAACTAAATTTGCACAAATTAGTTAACTTTCACGTAACTTAATCACTGATCCTTACTGGATATTTGGAAATATTAAGTAATAAATATATATATATATATATATACAGTTCCTGGCCAAATTATTAGACACTCTATAAGATTCTATGTAAAATCTTAATTATCAGGTGATACTATACAGCTTTATTGCTTTAACGCGACTGAAACTGGTTTGTACTTGTTTACGTTCGTGTATCAATTAGTTAAATTAGGCGATACATAATATAAATTCGATGATTGGATAAATTAGACGATATATTATATAAATATAGAATATTTATTACATCACGTATTACATTATTATATTGTAATAATTAGATCAAATTATTAGACGCACTGTAGCATTTTAATAATTACATGTTTTGCACGAAATTATATGCAATACTTTCTATATTTGAGCATATACGTAATGGTTTTTCATTCAGGAGATTTTTTATAAACTACCTCTTTGTATTTATTTTAAACATATTACATTACAATGTTAACCCATTGATACACGAACGTAAACAAGTGCAAACCGGTTTGAGTCGCAATTAAAGTAATGGATGCGCAAGTGTAAGTTCCACTTTATCGCTGGATAATTTTGCGGAGAAACTAAAAAAAAAGCTTTTATCTTAATCAAAAATTACGAATTCCAAAAACAAAATTTTAGATGAAGTTTCAATGATACCCAATTAAAATGACTAGGTTTAAGTTTTCCTTATTCAAATCGAAACTAAATCTGTCGAACCAAATAGGGTAGGAACTTTATTTACGACGCACATTTATTACTGCACAATGGGCTATTGGCGACGGTTTAGGGCAGATCAAAGTAGTCACCCACCCTCTTACTGACCGCAGTCAGTGATGCTTCACTTCGGTG